AGTTTCATAACAAATACATAATGATACATAAAAAAAACTTCAAGATTGTTGTTTCTTTGCTTTTTCATTTGCAAATTGGTCAATTATTTTCTCCAGATCAAGTTGACAAGCTATTGTTTATTCAATTGATATAATAGCTAGAGATAAGATGGTGTTGTGACATGTTACTTCTTAAAAATGTTTTGATTAATTTTAGTTTTGAAAAACTTCACTGTACTGTTGCTGTCATTGCCTGTAAAGTTAAAAAATGAGGCATGCTGCAATAATGTGGGAGAACTTACTTGAGGCTGCAGTGTGAAAGTTTGGCAACTTTGCTTATAGAAATAATTTCGTTTACCTGACTATAAAAACACATTTTAAATCAAAGCAGTTGAGGTCCAAAACTAGGCGAAATTTGGAGGGATATGCCAATTGTAAAAATTCTGATTTTTTTTTTTCAGAATATTTTTATTAGATGATGCAACAAGCTATGCAAGTGATAAGCACTTAAAAAGTATACAGTACATTTCTATGCATTTGTAGCTAGAACTATTTTAAGATGATCAATACAAAACCTTCCTCACTTATTTCTAGCCGTTTGTACTTGAGTACGAACATTTTCGGCTTTCTTAATAGGCCTTCTTCAGGTACACTGTGGTCTGTTAGAGCATCAGTTGGTAGAAGTTTAAACACTGCCAATGTTTACCTAGGTATCATCTTACCAGTGATGTCATCGTTGATGATAGGTATAGACGATACTGAGGGCGAAAAATTCTTTCTTTTGGTAAAAAAGGGAGGTGTGCAGATAGTACATGATGGGATAATCGCTAAAGTTGGGGAATAAATTGTAAAGTAAGCGCGCTATGTAAAGAAGATGCACTGTCATGATGGGGTTAATGAGGAATGATGTCATAGTAGACGCCGTAAATAGTTAACGATACAGTAAGAAGAGGCGTGCGAACGACCGTAGATGGGAAAGGGCGAACGACCGTAGATGGAAAGCAGAATTGGAAAATAAACGTGACAAGTAAAAAAGCGCTAACGGTTGCACGCGGCGAGAGTGGGTTGGTCTATTTAGTTTAAGGGGTTGTCGAAGAGTGATTTCCATGCGGAGGAGAGCAAGTCTGCATCTCTGCTGTTGATACAACTGTCTTTGAGGGATTGCTTAAATATTTCAAAACTATTCTAAGCTTGGTGTGGTTGCGCATAGGAATAATAATCCTTGCCTCTTCCCATTTGGTTGTTATACTAGGTTCGCTTGCAAACTGGGCTAGGGTGGAAGTGAACTTTTTGTTGTATGCATTGTACTTGTGCTCAGCTATCCTCCGCTTAAGTGATCTATTGGTTGAGCCAATGTATGTTAGCCTCTTGCACGGGTTAGATCTGCTGTCCTTTAGTGGGACCGTGTAGACTCCTGGTGTCCTAGCTTTGCTGCATTTGTCCTTGGTATTAGCCAGAAGTTTATAAATCGTAGGGTTACGTCTGTATGCAAGAGTAGCATTGACCTTTTTTTTTTTTTTTGCTATGAATTTAAAGGCTTGGCTCACTCTAGGGTCTAAATCGACGGTAATGTGCTTACTTTGTTGCTTTAGAGCAGTGGTTCCCAATTAGTTTTTTCTGCGTACCACTTCAAGAAAGAGCTCAAACTCGCGTACCCCTTATAGCAGAAATTCATATTAATCCACACTAATATAAATTCGAAGGTAATTCTGTCTGTCTGTCTGTCTGTTTGTTAATTTTTCACGTCTAAACCACTGAACAGGTTTTAATAAAATTTGGCACAGAGATAGCTTACATGTTGGAGATGAACATAGACTACATTTTACTGCGAGAAAATATCTTACTCCTACGAGAAAATTTGATATAATGCGGGCGAAGCTGTGGATAGACAGCTAGTGATAAATAGAATAAGTTTTTTTTTTTACATTTATTACCTTTAAAATACAATTCTAATAATAATAAAAATAACATAAGGTTATTTAATTTTAATGTGACAAATGTGCACGATTTTCTTTGCACAACTTTGCAAAATCTGGTTGCTTTTTGATCAGCTTTAGTCTTGAGTCATCTTCAAGTTGAAGTCGGTGACGATGTTTAGTTTTCATGTTTGTCATGGCCGAAAATCCGCTCACGCAGAGGTGTGTTGTGCAAAATGGTAGTAAATATTTTATTGCCGCTTCGCTGACAAGAAGATAATGATAATTGTACAATTTTTGTTTCTTGCGTAAGAATTTCATTTAGGTATTGTCACAAATGCATTTTTTGATGAAATTTCGAGATTATTTTTAGTTATAAATAAACGAATTTGTGCATTCGACATCATTTTGTAAATTGCCAAATTTTTGATGGTCCATCCATTAGTTTTTTGATTGCTTCATCTCATGCATTTAAATTTTAAATCGACCGATTTTAGATTTCCGCGCACCCCCAGGGGTACGCGTACCACTAATTGGGAACCACTGCTTTAGAGGTTTGGAATTGACATCTTCAGTTGTTAAGCATTTATGAATTTTTTTTTTATACAGTACATATTTGTCTAATGGAGTCAAATCTAATAGTTAATTGATTAATTATTAAATTCAAAAATATTTTTACCAGTGTTTTTACAATCGACCTTACTAACTTGATGCCCTCGTGATTCATGCACATGGAGCACTTTGCTCCAACTGCTCCACTGTAGCTATGCCTCTGCTACTAGTCAATTGCAAGCTTCCAGTTGATCACCAGTTCTCCATCTGTTACCTATAACAAAAATATAATTATTGTACTTGATTTTTGTAAGAAATAAGATAAAATAAATTGTGACGAGAATGACACTAGAGGTGTGTTGTCAATGAGATGTCATTAATATGATAGTGTTGCCAGCATGAAAATTGCCTTGGATAGCCAGTCCTTTGTCAGTGGCACATTGGTAGATTGTGAAGTCACTCAGTAAAAACTTAGTTTATACATGCACAAAAAGGTTGGGCAAGCCTTGTTCTATATAAGAGTCAAAAATAAGTGGAACTTGGTTACATAATACAGGTATCCTCTGATTAATGTGATTAAATGATCCTCAAAGCTATCATATATATATATCAAAATCATGTTAATCAAATAGTGGTACCTAAGTATTCAATCGAATAATCACCACCCATTAGAACAAATTTTTAGTTAATAACAAATATTTTTATTTTGTCATCTGTACAAAACGTATTCTATGATAAAAATGAATAACTAATTTAAAAATAAAATGAAACTTCAGAGCTGCTGCCTACCTTCATCAGGCAAAATTATATTCAGTCCAGTTTGTCTTTATTTAATGCATGTTGAATACAATCATTATGTCAGTGACACACTAAGATTTGTTGCAAGTTCAGGAGTTGTTATTCATCAATTTTTAACAATTTCTTCCTGAAATTTCTTTGTCAACAGGTTTTGGGTGTCTCATATGTTTTGTATCCTTTAGTTCAAAATTTCCTGAACAAAACTTTCAAAACTACATTTGACATGCCCAATGTTTAGAATCATCTTCCCTATACACACTAAGAGTATTTTTTACTGTTTGTACAGTTTATATCTTTAACAAAATTTAAAATGCATATCAGGCATTATGTATACATTTTATCTGCAGATATTTCGATTTGATTTTACGCAAACAAAATGTGAAGTAAACTTTTAAAATAAGCTTTTAAACAAAGAATCCAATATCACATTAGCAGTAATGTGTTAACTTTCACAACTGTTGTAATTAAAGTACAGATCTATATTGGAAATCATTCTTAGCACAAAGATAGCTGTGAGATTAGCCGGGGGTACACTAATTCGTTAGTACCACTTAATCGGCCTATTCCGTGAGAATAGTTCCCCGAGTTTCGAATCGTAAGATCCGATCGTAAAAAGTTTACATAGGAGAGCGTATTTTAAAATGATCTGAACGAGAAGTTCAGATGTTCGTCAGGATTCCTTGACACCAGTTAATCGATCTTATTATACGCGGATTAACACGCGTTTGCGATCTGATTCGGAATAAATTGAGGAGACATTCTTATAAAATAAAACAAGAGTAAATTTAATAAATCTCAAACAAACGAATACAAAAATTTCGATTACAACCATTTAGCGACAAGCTAGAGACTACGACTTAATCTATGCTAATGCGCGTTCGAGAGAGAGAGCTCACAAAATGATTCTAAACATACGACCTGTTAGTTGTCGTCTTCGTTTCTGTAGATATAGGACACCTTGTAGATAGAGTTCATATTACTTTCGTATGGGAGATCAATTCGTGCACAAAATATAAAAATATCACTTCTTCTAAGTGTAGACTCGGGACTTAGTCTATCGGACTCCGTTATGGGCGTTGGCCATCAGGAGGGAAACGTATGTGGAGTTTGTATGCTTCGGATCTGTCGAAGAACTCCCCGAATTCTGACTAATCTCCCCTTTTATTTCAAAATTTCGTCCAATCATCGTCCAGTAACTCTTTCGTGAGAACGGATGAGAGGGGGATGAATGAGGGGTAACCATTTCCCATCTGAGCGAGATTTTTAACCAGATACGGGAAAAACAGCGGATGTTCTCTTCTGTGGAAAGGAAGTGACATCTGTCATCTATTTTTCCCACTCTAAAACACTAGTTTTTTCACACAAAATGAAGTAATATTTTGTCGATATTTTAAACATATTAATAAAATTATTAACTTAGACCCAGGGCCTTTCGGATCTCACATAGCAAATTCACTAACACCTTATTTGTCAAGAAAAACGTATCTATGTTAAGTAAAGAAAGCAGTTAAAGCCGCATTAATTAAAACTTCTGCTGGATATATAAAAGGACTGTTACAATTAATTTTGCACATTAAGTGGGGGTTACCTGTATTTAATAAATAAAAACCACTTGATTACAGTATTACCTTAATCAAGTTTTATTTATTGGATATATACAGAGTTTTGCGATAGTTAGTTTTTTTGTAATAGTAATTTATGAATAATTTTTTTTAGTGAACCGTAATTAAGTTGAAATTTGCCTTTTCTTTGTAGAATTCCTCTTCATTGTTGAAATATGGTGATTTTTATATAACTCATCATTCCAATTTGTCTGAAGTGCATGTGGTATTTCATCTTGTGACGGATGATTCGTTACATCAAGCAGAAATTAATTCTCGTCATCCTGTAATTTTAGGATTACGAAATATTCTTCGAGTAGCTCACGAAAGAGACATTTGCACCATTACTATTCCATTATTATTAGTACATGAAATGTCAGAGGTAAAATGTTTTTTTTGTAATTAATAATAAATTTATATTTACTGGATAGATTTTTTTAATACAATAAACTCCCGATTATTTGGGCTAATGATGGGGTGAGGTGGCACGGATAATTCGAACTATAATTATTTATTTCTAAAATACAACATGTAGATTCACCGTTTTCAAATTTTTCAATTAACGTTTGTTTTTGTTTTATAGTAAGTACGACTTTCGATTATTAGGCATTTTAAGGATACTTATCCAAAAATTAAAAACAATATATCTTTTTTTATGTAATTTTACACTAAAAGTATTTGTGGGAGAGTTATTTGAAAAAATATTATGTATAATATGTATTATACATACGTACTGTACAAATAATCAAATCTTAAATTGTAATACGTATTATAACATGCAACTAAATGAAACTTTGTATAAATGTATCACTGTCGTTTTCTCCTCCAAAAAGAAATGTTCAGTGCAAAAGAAGCGGCCTAACTAAAACCAGTCCAGCTGACTTCAGATATCCCCACCACCTGCTTCAAATATCTAAATACGAACACGTACACACTTATAGGATGCGTAAACATGAAAGCGAGCAACTATTTAAAAAATACATACACATATAATTATTTTTTTTAAATTAAATTCATGCACGGATAATCCGCGCACAGATAATTAGGAGTTTACTGTATAACATTAAAAATGATAAAATTAAAAACAATAATCAAACATCTTTTTTGTTGCTGAGAAAGTTTATTTAAAACAAACATGTTCGACCTATTCCATAGGCCATTGTCAGGTTGACGATGGCCTATGGAATAGGTCGAAAACATTTGTTTTAAATAAACTTTCTCAGGGACGAAAAAGGTGTTTGGTTATTGTCTGATAAAATTTAAAAATTTTTCTATATTTTTCTAGAAAATTTTTAAAAATTATTTTGAAATTTCTGCGTGTTTGTCTTTTGAACGCTATGGAATAATCTCTTCGGTTCAAATGCTGCTTTTGTTATTCAAGAGTGAATCTTGAAATAAATAAGATCTAACCAGAGAAAAAGGAGCAGTAATAAAACATATTGTCTTGTAACTTCAGCAGTAAATTTAATAAATCATAACATTTTTGACCTAATACCTTCTCTTTAAAACAGCTTTTAATTTTTAAATTATTTCTATTGAATTCAATATTATTTTTTTATTTTAAATGGTATAATTCACTGAGGAAGGCCTATTCATTAGGTGTGTGCTTGAGCACGGCACACACCATCTGGTCTGTGGAGATGGATTACTTTGCCATCGTTTTATGACTAGTAGAGAGTTTCAACTACATTTTAAGATAAGTCTGCCAGCACCTTTATTGTCTTCCTTAACTTTCTTTGAACTTGTTTCTTGATGATAATAGTTTTGTATTGTAATGTCCACTACCAAATTGTTTGATGAAAGGCAAGCAATCACGATTAGAGATGTGTTAAAGAGAAAGCTTTCTTATATTCAAAAATTCCTAGACAATTACAATCCAGAAAGGGGTAAAGTACAGGTTGGATAAGGCTAAACTCGTTATGTAAAATTTTGGAAATCAAATGATTATGTGGCTTTGTTAAGCCATATTTCTTCTGTCTTTCCTTTCTCTTCATTACTCGTGACCACGTCTTATGGAAAAACCCCACTTCCGGCCTTTGTTTACTTGGCTACGATGTGGTTGGTTAAACCATGTGGTCCGACCTGTGTTAGACAATAGGGGCTGACGCTTGATTGGTCGAAGGGGGTGACGGACAAGGTGGACGAAAGGGAGGTCCGAACAGGAAGAGAGTCAGTTCGGGACGAGACCGTGTGGAGCGAGGACACGTTAGGACGAGCTAGGAAAAAAGGAAGTCGCCACGTGGAAGATCTGAGGTTTTTTTTTTCTTTTGACNCACTCCTCTACTAATGAGTCACCATCATTTCTCCTTTACGGTTTTGATCCCAAGTTCCCTCATGCATTCCCCGTTGAACAGACAAATGACCACCCAGGTATTCGGGAGTACCGTGACTTCCTGCTATCTAAGCTAAGGTACATCCGTGAATCGGCGTATGAATTAAGTCGCAACCGAAACAAACTTAACCGTAACCGCATCAATACAGGGAGGAAAGTGCGCAGCTTTGAGGTAGGGCAAAGGGTTTGGATGTTGAGGAAAGGGAAGAGACAAGGGAAATTTTCTCCCAAATATCTGGGCCCATTTCGTGTATCCCGCCTCCTGGGGCCGGTTAACGCAGAAATCGAAAGTTGTAATCGAAAGGAGAGAAGTATTGTACATATTGATAGGTTAAAGCCATGCTTCACTAATGTCTGTGATTCGCGGCAGAGGTGTGAAGTCCCGATCAGAGACGAGGAGTCACGAGCAAGCGAGACAGGGGATATTGAAGAGGAAGAAGACATCCCTCACCTCACTACGGCGCAACGAGCACGCCACATTGGGGATGATCAACGGAACCAGCAGCATCAAGGAAGTAATGATGACTCGGTGAATGAACCGGGAACAGAACAGAGAGTCAGTATCTCACACCCCTATAATTTACGGGAGCGGAAAGTGGACTATCGACGGCTTCACTTTGGAAGATGAATTTGTATTTCTCAACTCAGTAATTTTGTGTAGCATCTACATATTAAAGTTTATATTAATTGGTAATATGTATTTTTGGTAAGGGCGTATGTGGCTTTGTTAAGCTATATTTCTTCTGTCTTTCCTTTCTCTTCATTACTTGTGACCACGTCTTATGGAAAAACACCACTTCCGGCCTTTGTTTACTTGGCTATGATGTGGTTGGTTAAACCATGTGGTCCGACCTGTGTTAGACAATAGGGGCTGACGCTTGATTGGTCGAAGGGGGTGACGGACAAGGTGGACGAAAGGGAGGTCCGAACAGGAAGAGAGTCAGTTCGGGACGAGACCGTGTGGAGCGAGGACACGTTAGGACGAGCTAGGAAAAAAGGAAGTCGCCACGTAGAAGATCTGAGGTTTTTTTTTTCTTTTGACCAGTCACCCCTTTATTCTCCATTCTTTATGATTTTTCTTTTTCCATCTTTCGCTAAATTTTGGGCCCTAGGTTTAAAGTAATTATTTAAGTTAGATTTAAACTAGACTAAGATTCTATTGTCGGTTGAACGTGGGATCCACGTGCTGTGTCGGGACGAGAGTTCAGATCTGGTATTGTACTGTACAACCTAGTTTTAAGTATCGGTATTTTGCCTATTTGGATTCTGAAATTTTTTTTAATAAATTATATCAAAGCCGAATTATCCTTTGGGAGTCAATTATTTATCGTTCGGCTACAAATGGCGTCCNATCTGGTATTGTACTGTACAACCTAGTTTTAAGTATCGGTATTTTGCCTATTTGGATTCTGAAATTTTTTTTAATAAATTATATCAAAGCCGAATTATCCTTTGGGAGTCAATTATTTATCGTTCGGCTACAATCACTAAAAAATTCATGCAACACATCCATTGTTGTGTTTGCTGTGTGGGCAGTAGTCTCCTTCATTCACATCCAATAATGCAACAAATTGCTGGACAAGATCACAAGAAACTAAACTATTTCAGTTGTGTCAAAAAATAAAGGCCCTATCATGTGACAATGGAAAGTTGCACATGAAACTCTAATTTTCTGAGCATGTAATGCTTGTTATTGAAACACATGAGGATTTTCACTGTTTCATATTTGACAGTTTTGGCTGTCCACAGTTATATAATAGCTGTCCAAGTTGAACCAAGCTTTGTCCTGAAATAAACTTGATCCAATATCTCAAGTCCATCTTTGTTGACTAAAGAATGAAACTGATGACAATAATGTGCATGTTTTTTACAGTTTGGTTCCTTTGGTTCATGAATGATACCAATGCAGTAGGGATGCAGTTTTAATTTATTTATAGCCCCAAAAAGAGTAGTTGGTGACACTTCAACCTGTGAAGGTAATTTTCTCAGGGATTTTCTGGATTATCAATCAAACAACATATTGTTGACTTGTTAGAAACTGTAGTCTGAGGAAACTTCAACTGAAACTCTTCTCTCATGCATTTGTAGGACTTGTACTGAACATAAAATAAGACTTGACAATACATAAGCATTTGTCTTTGGAAAATGACACATCTGACACAGTGTAACACAATGAGTGCTTAAGTGAGACTAGTGCATAACAAGATTATTTCAACAGTTAGAGGATGTTAGCCTTGAGTGCATTGTTGCCACCTGCCTAATATGATGACTAAACTTTGTGTTATCTTTTAGGTTGCATCTATTTTGAAACACCCTGTAATTGAATGGAAATACTGTATAGTGAAAATTGATTGAGAGCTCATCTAATGCAATAGCGTAGTAGTATAACTAGTCAGATAAAATGTATAGTACAAAATGGAGTGATTGTTTTGAGATAAAGAACACATTTTTCATTTGAAGTAATTTTTACTACAGTATTGAATTAATATATTTTTAAGTTATCTTATCTAGTTTTGTTGATTGTGGGTTTTTTGACATTTGGAAAAGGCCAATGGCCATAGTGTTGTTTAGTTGAAATAAATAAAATAAAATATATTAAATTAATTTAATTGCCTTTATGTCCTTATTTTATAAAATTTATTATATTTATGTCTACTTGTACTTATTATACTGTGTTAAGTTTTTGCAAAATGAGGAAGTCTTAATCAGAAAAAACAATCTTTATTGTTTACCCGGTATTTCACCTAAACCTGGCAGGTGAAATACCAGGTGAACAATAAAGATTGTTTTTTCTGATTAAGACTTCCTCATTTTGCAAAAACTTAACACCAGAATATAAATTATTTTTACCTATTTTCATGTGTAAAATTTTGAGATACTATGTTGTTTTAATATGCATATTTTTGGTGGGGGAGAGTTTTAATGGTTTGATGGGTTCCTTGTGGACCGGCTAGTTCGCTTCATCCTGATTCAAAGGTTTTGATTGCGTTCAAGGGGTGAAGTAGTCTTAGGGTAGGGTGAGGGGTAATGGGTAATGATTGGAAGAAATC